GCGAAAAAAGCCTGCATTCACTGGTCAAGATTCATGAAAAGCTGCACTACTACGAGAAGCAGAGCCCCGCCCCTGTCCTCCACAGCACAGCAGCCTTGGCAGATGATCTGGCCGAAGAGCTTCAGACCAAGCCATTAAGTGGTGAGATCAGAGAGCTGTTGAAACTGCTGTCCAAACCCAACGTAAAGGCTTTGCTTTCCGTGCACGACACTGTGGCGCAGAAGAATTATGACCCCGTATTGCCTCCGATGCCTGACGATATTGATGATGATGAAGACTCAGTAAAAACCATCCGTCTCGTCAAAAACAGAGAACCACTGGGAGCTACCATCAAGAAGGATGAGCATACCGGTACCATCATTGTGGCTAGAATCATGAGAGGTGGCGCTGCAGACAGAAGCGGTCTTATTCACTTCGGTGATGAACTTCGGGAAGTGAATGGGATCCCAGTAGAGGATAAAAGGCCGGAGGAAATAAAACAGATTTTGGCTCAGTCTCAGGGGGCAATCACATTTAAGATTATACCCAACATCAAAGAGGAGACCCCATCTAAAGAAGGCAAGGTGTTCATCAAAGCCCTCTTCGACTATGATCCTACTGAGGACAGAGAAATTCCATGTAGAGAAGCTGGGCTTGCTTTCAAGAAAGGAGACATCCTTCAGATTATGAGCCAGGATGATGCAACCTGGTAGCAGGGGAAGCATGAAGGGGATACCAACCCCAGGGCAGGCCTGATTCCCTCCAAGCATTTCCAGGAAAGGAGATTGGCCGTGAGACGACCAGCAATATTAGTGCAGCCCTTGAAAGTTTCCAACAGGAAATCATCTGGTTTTCGAAGAAGCTTCTGTCTTAGTAGGAAAGATAAGAAGACCAATAAGTCCATGGATGAATGCAAGAAGAGTGAGCAGTATGACACAGCTGATGTGCCCACCTACGAGGAAGTGAGCCCGTACCAGCGGCAGACCAATGAGAAATACAGACTTGTGGTCTTGGTTGGCCCTGTAGGAGTAGGGTTGAATGAACTGAAACCAAAGCTGCTGATCAGCGACACACAACACTACGGCGTGACCGTGCCACACACAACCAGGGCCCAAAGAAGCCAGGAGAGTGATGGCGTGGAATATATTTTCATTTCCAAGCACTTGTTTGAGACAGACGTGCAAAATAACAAGTTCATTGAATATGGTGAATATAAAAACAACTACTACGGCACCAGCATTGACTCGGTTCAGTCTGTACTTGCTAGAAACAAAGTCTGTCTATTGGATGTTCAGCTTCACACAGTGAAGCATTTAAGAACACTAGAATTTAAGCCTTTTGTGATATTTATAAAGCCTCCATCAATAGAACGTCTGAGAGAGACAAGAAAAAACGCCAAGATGATTTCAAGCAAAGACGACCAAGGAGCGGCCAAACCCTTCACAGAAGAAGACTTTCAAGAAATGATCCAGTCTGCACAGATCATGGAAAACCAGTATGGCCACCTTTTTGACAAGACCATTGTAAACGATGATTCCACCATGGCCTTCCATGAGCTGAAGACGACGTTTGACAGATTGGAAACTGATGCCCACTGGGTTCAGTGAGCTGGCTGCATTCGTGACTCAGGAAGAAGCTCACAGCACTCTTTTTCATAGACTGCATGATTAGTACGGATTCAGTTACCATTTGGGTGGCAGGGTTTTTAAATCTACATCACTGTCATAAATGTACAATATTGTGAACATGTTTGTATCCTTTTACAACCTTATTTCAAACACAATGTGTGAGTAATAAGACACACACAGTGCTGTCTGTTAAGCAAAGCCGGGAGCCGTCTGCTTCTCTCTAGTGCAGCTCGGGCTCCGAGCTGAGTGCCCTAAAGAGAAAGCGCTAGACAGCAGAGAGTGGAGTTTGATGCTTCAGTTGTCTCAGGGTGAGGGGTGGGGGGGGTGTTACCGCCAGCCAGTTTCCGTGTTAGCAGTTGAGGGTATTGCTAGCACCAGACAGGACAGTGTCTCAGTGTTCTCAGGCAGCCATCACAGATATAACTGATCTGGCAGTAAACAAAGGACCCCTTGCTGAAAGTGTCAGCCTTTGCTTACAGATGCTCAGCATGGCCACAATGTGTGCATTGAAAAGTCATTCTTAAACTACTGAAACGTTGCCGGGATTTGAAGTAGCCTTCATGTTATATATAGTCTAAGAAGTCCTTATGAGTATGTTTTGGCAGCTCAATGCATCTTTAATATGGGAAGATAGACACTATAAAGCTCTTAAGTGTGTGACTTTTAAAACCTCTCTCTGTGGTATCAATCACATTAAGCATGGTGGTGGCTTAGGATTAGGTAATGATCACAAAGGTAATTTTTATCTGTAAATCCTCACAAGACACTTTTCCCAGTAAATATAAAAAATGTGATTCATATCCTAAGAGTAGATACTAGACACAACACTGATGTACAGTTAACGAAAACACGGCCATTTAAAAAATAGCTATTGGGCACCAGGCATACCATTAAGGTATGATTTTGAAAACTTTTCTTGTAATCTTAACTTATTTATCTATAAAGTGATTCCTAAATAAATAAATAATAAAGTAATTCTTAACCCTGGCCCAAGTACCATCCCCACCTCACCATTTGTAAAGAAGTCTGAGAAAGAAGATTCTATTGTAAATATTTTCAGTGGGGACTCTCATTCTCCTTGATACTGCTGGTTTCCAGCAGTGAAATAACTAGAGTTCTCGGAATACTAGACACATCCACAAGACGTGTAGGGGAACATGCCCTGCAGTGTTTGCATGCTAAGACACTGCCAATCGAAGATCAGTGTGCTTGTGAATGTAAGAGAGAGGGGGAAAAGGTGTTATTTTTTGTTGATTTGTAAAGAGAGTTATAGATGTCATGCTTACTTAAAGAAAAAGAGGATTTAGTGAAATTTTATATATTTATGAACTATTTGAAAGGCATACTTTTAAAACTATCAAGTGGGGCTATTCCTGAGATATATCAATGATATGTAAAGGTGTCATAATTATAAATCAGGGTCAACATTCCATGTAAATATTTGGCCTTGGTTTGTTCTCAGACAGATGTGCATCTGTGTCATGTCTGTGCTGCACAATTGAGGGCATCATTCACTGGTCTTCTTCAGTTGAGTCCAATCCTATATTAGAAACAGAAACAAAATCACTCCAGTGACCTTCCCACAGTCTGACCATCAGCGTTAGACAATTAGGCCAAACATTGCTTACCGGTGTAATCCAAACAGTGAGTTTTAAGTTTATTAATTAGCAAGCAATTTAGCTTTAAGAGAGAGAGAGAGATTAGGGTTGCCAAATCTGACTGAGTATTACTTTAAAATTGTAAGGCTGGTCCGAGAATTACGAATCCTAAGTAGATGGTTTGTGTCCCTTAGTCTCCTCTCAGCACTGACCTGAGATCCTGTACTAAGGATAATGGGAAATGTATAACAAGTTAGGCAATAACATAGGCAATCCTAATTCTTTGTTGAGAGGTAATTACGTCTGTATTTTTTTCATTTTGCCAGCAAATCGCCTCAGTTCTCCACTGTCGAGGTAAATGCAGCTCAAGGGGGTCGGGGGTTGGGGGTGGTTTGAGTTGTTAGTGGTGGCGGGGGCATTATAAAAAGGTAACTCTTCAGATCTGT